TAATTTAGTACTAATTTATTACCATATTCGCAAATTTATTACCCTTCATTAAACAGAAAAAACCAACGGCTCTGCTAGCTTTATGTCAACCTAGCAGAACCATAGCTGAAAATTTGATATTTTGAAAATTTTTAATATACCATAATTTATAACTATTTTATTACTAACTTATAACCATAATCACGAATTCTTTACCCATCATTTCAAGGAAAAAATCGACGATTTGTCTATCTCGATCTCAACCTAGCAGAACCAAAACTCAAATCACATGTTTTTTGAAATTCTGTTGTATCGTCGATAAGTTACTAATTTATTACTAATTTATTACTAATTTATTACTAATTTATTATCACATTCGCAGATTTCTAACACTTCATTCAACAGGGAAAACCAACGGCTCTGCTAGCTTACTGTCAAACTAGCAGAGCCATAGCTAAACAATCATTATTTTGAAAACTTCAAATATACCATGATTTATTACTATTTTATTACTAACTTATAACTATGATTACGAATTGTTAACTCATCATTTCAAGGAAAAAAACGACGATTTGTCTATCTCGAACTCAACCTAGCAAAACCAAAACTCAAATCACATGCTTTTTGGAATTCTGTTGTATCATCGATAAGTTATTAATTTATTACTAATTTATCACCACATTCGCAAATTTCTAACACTTCATTCAACAGGGAAAACCAACGGCTCTGCTAGCTTACTGTCAAACTAGCAGAGCCATAGCTAAAAATTATTATTTTGAAAACTTCAAATATACCATAATTTATTACTATTTCATTAGTAATTTATAACTATAATCACGAATTTTTTACTCATCATTTCAAGGAAAGAAACGACGAATTGACTATCTTGATCTCAACCTAGCAGAACCAAAATTCAAATCACATGTTCAAATTGAATTAAATAAAAAATTCGTGATTATAGTTATAAATTACTAATGAAATAGTGATAAATCATGGTATATATGAAGTTTTCAAAATAATAATTGTTTAGCTATGGCTCTGCTAGTTTGACAGCAAGCTAGCAGAGCCGTTGGTTTTCCCTGTTGAATGAAGTGTTAGAAATTTGCGAATGTGGTAATAAATTAGTAATAAATTAGTAACTTATCGATGATACAACAGAATTTCAAAAAACATGTGATTTGAGTTTTGGTTCTGCTAGGTTGAGATCGAGATAGACAAATCGTCGATTTTTTCCTTGAAATTATGGGTGAAGAATTCGTGATTATAGTTATAAATTAATTAGTAACTTATCGATGATACAACAGAATTTCAAAAAACATGTGATTTGAGTTTTGGTTCTGCTAGGTTGAGATCGAGATAAGACAAATCGTCGATTTTTTCCTTGAAATTATGGGTGAAGAATTCGTGATTATAGTTATAAATTAGTAATAAAATAGTTATAAATTATGGTATATTTAAAATTTTCAAAATATCAAATTTTCAGCTATGGTTCTGCTAGGTTGACATAAAGCTAGCAGAGCCGTTGGTTTTTTCTGTTTAATGAAGGGTAATAAATTTGCGAATATGGTAATAAATTAGTACTAAATTAGTAACAAATTATAGTACTATTGAAAATCTGAAATATTGAAATATTAGTAATAAATTAGTAACTTATCGATGATACAACAGAATTTCAAAAAACATGTGATTTTAGTTTTGGTTCTGCTAGGTTGAGATCGAGATAGACAAATCGTCGATTTTTTCCTTGAAATTATGGGTGAAGAATTCGTGATTATAGTTATAAATTAGTAATAAAATAGTTATAAATTATGGTATATTTAAAATTTTCAAAAGATCAAATTTTCAGCTATGGTTCTGCTAGGTTGACATAAAACTAGCAGACCCGTTGGTTTTTTCTGTTCAATGAAGGGTAATAAATTCGTGAGTATGGTAATAAATTAGTACTAAATTGATAACAAATTATAGTACTATTGAAAATCTGAAATATTGAAGTGGTTCTGCTAAGTTTATTGTGGTTTGTACTCTCTGGTTTCTGACTCGGTTTCAGATCTTGATGAAGATTCCGAAAACACTTCAGCTTTATTGTTCCTCTCTGAGCAAATTGAATCACATACATCCTGTGAAGAAATATATCGTTATTGGAATACTATAATTTTAGCCTCCATAATTCATACAATAAGTCCACATGCTTATAAGTTTTTAAGACATTTTGGAGTACTCATATTACCTCATTCACGTACAGTCAAATCGATATGTAGTTCGTTGTTAACAGATCTTGCAGATTCGAAGAAAGACAAATGTCGTAATCTCATGCAGAAAATGTATTCAAGTTATTAGGTGAACATGAACAATATGTCTAATGATGGATGAAGTTCATATAAAGCCATATTTAGATTGCAAGGCAGGCAATATTGTAGGAACGGCATTTAATAATGCATGTTTAGCAAATTCCGCGTTTGTCTTCATGATAGCAAGCGTTATGTCAAATGTGAAAGAAGTTGTTCATATAAGTCCAACATAAAAAATATATCATCTTATGATTTTTTCTTTAATAAAGAGAGTTATACTTAAATTAGAGGAAATTTGTTACAGAGTATTATCAGTGACAATAATGCTGTCAACAGTAAAGCTATGAGTTATTTTGCAGAAAATCCAAAACTCAGTATTGTTTATCCTCATCCTGCAGATACGTCACGTCCTCTTTTTTATCTTTTTGAATATGTACATTTGTTGAAATGCCTAAGGAATAATTGGCTCAATTCAAAATCAGATCAGAAATTGAATTATCCCGATTTCGAAACAGGGGTTATAAGAGTTGCTTCTTTTCATAGTTAAAAAACTCTTCAGGAACCAGAATATGATAAATTATTAAAATTTGGATATTCGTTGAACCTGAAGGCGCTATTTCCCTCGAATATGGAAAGGAAAAACGTTGTTTTGGTTCTCAAAATTTTCAATGATGTCATAGTACAGGCTCTTTTGAAATTTGGATCAAACATTGAGAACTTTGAAGACACTGCTGGATTTATCAACATGATACTCAAGTGGTAGAAAATTGTGGATGTCATAACACCCCTGAAGGGCAAACATTGGAATGATGTGTTTCAAGAACCTATCACAGCTATAAATTTTTGTTCCGATGAATTCTACTAATAAACTAACAAACCACACATACTGCTTTGATTCACACTATATATGGAATGACAGAAATTATTCTTTCAGGTGGAAAATATCACATATCTATTCGACAATTGTATGAATCAGAAAAAAGGCTCAGAATTCAATCACTGCTCAAGCTAAAATCTCGCACTTACATACTTATATACAAATCAGGCGCATCCACGAAAATATTGATTTCACCGAAGAAATCCCAGAAAATCATTCTCTCAATACAGATAACATAGTCGAGGAATCTGATATAATAGATAAATATAGTGATGACATGCCGGTAATAACCTATTCAGCAGGTTATTGTTGCTTATTAAACTTAGAAAAATTCATTGCGAATTTTGTAAATAGAACTTAATTTATAATGATGAATCAATAATAAGAGACAATTACTCTCTCATGAAAAGTATGAGTAGAGGAAAATTACTCTATCCGCAAGCTTTGATTGTGCAGTTAGTTTTGTATTCGTATATTATATTCAACAAAATCTGAATTCGAGGAAATATTCTTGAATGTTCATAATAAACGGGCATTTCGAACTCAATACATTCTCAAAATTCTTTCTGAAAACGTTCATCTGCCTCGCGGCAATGAATGCAGAATTCATTCCAATGATCAAACTGCAATAACTATCATATTAACATGTACTACAAACACCCTACTCAAAAATTACTGTTTCAAGTCTAACGATAAATTGGGTAAAAAATCCAACAACAGGAAAACAACCGGAAAACACTGGCAAATTTTTTAGGTAATAGTTAATAGGAATTCTGCAAGATAAATATTTGTAATTATAACAAACGGCATTTCTATCAATACATTTTCCCCAATACTCTTTCGATCAATCTCACGATAAGTTTATGTTCTGGGGGCCCTGTATAAGTAGGTGTGAAGTTTACCTCTAATGGGATTAGATCACTATAATTTTTGCCAATATATTCAATTCCAATGGGTTGCTGTAGGTGGGTATTTGTGTTTTATTCTGGTTTTTGCTTTGAAACTTCGTTTTTCCATAATAAAATCTAATGGGATACGAAGAAGGGCTCAGTTGACGACTGGCATCCTCTTTTAACCGTAAGCCCTTCAAAAAAACAGCAAAATCGGCTCAATAATGATCTAAAACTAAAATTTAAATACGCGGTCGCCTTATAGCGCCATAAGCGCTTGTCGTTTCGAGCTGCTGTTAGGCCTCACTAAGGTGACGTCACCACGGAGCCTGCAGGCCTTGTAGTATCGGGGGCCGCAGTCGGTCGTGCCGACCTCTATGGAGGGCATCGTGTAGGATACGTAGATGGCCTCGCGTGATATACTTCAAATGACTTGACTCTCGACCAAGTGCATACTAGACTAACTTTAAGTATCTTTAAAGTGAGCCCACACAAGTACTCTTCGGGTTAGTTCAGTTGTCACTCTAGAATTGACGCCCAATAAGTGAAACCTGATGAACACGTTCATTCATTACAATCCATACCAAAATCATAACTCACATTATCCCTACGAGTTGCTATACTTCAAATGACCCTTGACCAAGTCTGAGTATCCAACCAGATAATGAGTTGGTCCGGTTGTTAAACACTTGAGATAAGGTCTAATGAATGAAATCAGATTATCACGTTCCTTTATCACAATCCTTACCACAATCACAACTCACCCTATCTCTACTTGAGTTCAGATGGTTCTTAACAAGGGCTCACTGGAATAACTCCAAGTAGGAAGGTATCCTTTGAGTTAGTTCAGGTGTCAAACTTTCGAATTAACGATCAATGTGTCAAATTTAATAACAACGTTCATTCATCACAATCCTTATCAGAATCATAACTCATACTATACCTGTTGTAGTACGACTTTAGTTATACTTTCGATGACTCACTGGGCGAACTCAAGATTCCAGTTCCCAAACTACCGCATTAATGTCCAATAAATCAAATCCGCTAATCAAGTTCATTTCTTACAATTTTTATCAGAATCACAATTCATACTATCCCTGGTGGAGTGCGACTTTAGTTCCGATGACTCACAGGGCGAACTTAAAGTTCCAGTTGTCGAACTGACGCATTAACGTCCAATACATCAAATCTGCTAATCACGTTCATTTATCACAATCCTTACCAAAATCACAACTCATACTATCCCTGCTGGAGTACGACCTGTTATACTTCAGATGGCTCTTGACCAAGTGTCCGCTAGCCAGCGCCGCCATCAGTGACACTTCCCCTGCTAGAACTGCCCCGCACACGAGCCTAGCCAGCCGTTTGGCGTTTTCGCCCGGCCGCTCCCGATTGGGCCCCTCCACCCCCAGCATCCTGAGGCAGGAGGCCTGCGGGGGCAGCACGGTGCCGCCGCCAGTCGTGCCGATCTCTATGGAGGGCATCGTGCAGGACACGTAGAGGTCTTCGCCTCGGTCGCCCCACGGCTCCATGATGGTGATGCAGTTGCTGCTGGAGACGTTCTGCGCGGCGTCTTGGCCGGTCGCTATGAAGATGGCGGTCACGATGTTGGACGCGTGCGCGTTGAAGCCTCCTGGAACGGTGGGACGATGATAGTGGAAGGGTTTGTGATTTCTATTCGATACTGTTCACATTCTGAATGGTGGCGATATAAAGACTAGTTCCATAGAGATTTATAATCACTAGTTGTAATGTGTTCTCATGGCCGCCATTTTGATATTCATATTCAATAATCGTGGGAAAATGGCAACATTTTGTTGAAACACTCGCTATGCTCCTGTCCCCATATGCACGTCAAGTGCAAAAAAACATGCTATTTTTCTAACTCTTCATACAATTGAAATTGATTGTTTTCAATTCCCTACATTTTCATTTTATTATCAACTAGTATGCTACGAAAATGAAATAGGACCAAATTTAGTTTAATCATCTCAATGTAGTTGGAAGATATGAAAAAAACAATGTTTTTCAACTTTTTCAACCCCTGCACCTCAGAATCAAGAGAATTCTGAACATATGCTAAAAAAACTTTTTTAATTTTTTTATTCACTTTGAAAACACCCACATATTATGAAACATCCTGTGTAAATCGCTATTTGGGTTTTCATTTCCTGAAATCTCTAATTTTTTAGATGTTTTTTATTATGATTCTGATTTTATTACCTTTTTAGAAAAACAACCAACAAACTACATCATTATTATTATTCAATGAAGAGATATCGCCTTCATAGTTTTACTAGTGACATCAATATTTTGTTCACATATCGCGATAAAAAATAAGCGTATGTCACCTAGCGGGGTTATCGAAAGTTGACAAAATGGCCTGAATACTGATTAAATTCCTCGTCAAGCAAGTCATTCTCGAAAAGTGATTTGAAATAAAACAAAATAGTTTTTTTTCTCTTTTGATGAGTGTTAACGCGATACGTCGCACACTTTCTCTATAGGAAAATTATTCTTGCAACACGTGTATACTTGCACAGTCGTTGATGAAAACATTAACAGTTTTTTTTAGTCGACATAAATTTGCATCAAAGTTAAAGATGACGGTTATGTTGTCTTTTCATCATAAATATGATTGCATAGAAAAATCGCTCGGACTCAAATACCTACCCCAGGGCACCTGAATCACATAAAAACGTAAGGAAATTAGTTTTTTTTGTGGGAATGAATCATTTTTCAACATCTATGAAATTTACATGCAAGTTCCATGCTCGCTTCTGGATGAGACCGTAAGTTTTCCTAAAGAATCGTGCTAATTCTTGCTCAGCAATGTTCCATTTCAAGTCGACGGATTGCCTTCTTCTTGTATCCTTTGCTCGTTTGAGAAATAACCGGCTTGTTGTTGTTGTTCTTTATTACCCCAAGAAACATATTTGTTCATAATAGGGATACATAAACATATGATATATATATATATATAAAACAATAAAAAAAACTGATTAACAAGTTATGTCAATATAACATAATAATTAAAATAAAATCATTCCAAGTATTCAAATGAGAATAAATTGCTCCGTTTATCATCATCAATATGTTTCAAATCATAAGGTAATGAATTATATAAAATGATTCCGTTGTAGAATACTGATTGTTTGCCAATGATGGAGTTATATGGGTTTGCTATTAATGAATTCAACTGTCTCGTTGCATGAGTATGAATTGTATTTACTTCAGTAAAGTTCAAGTTGGATATTTTTATTTTTTTTCTCACAAAATTGATGAAAGAACAAATTTTTATTTTATATAAAGATGATAAATTCAACAGATTTTTTGGTTTGTAAAGATTAATAGTTGGTTCCAGGTAATGTAAATTGTAAATGCACTTTATTGTTTTATTTTGTAATTTCATTAATGGTTTCAAATGTGATATACTTGTGCTTCCCCAAATTGATATTAAATATTGTAATTTTGAGTAAATCAGACAGAAATATATATTCTTCAAATATCTAAGAGGAATGAAATTTCGAATTTTGTATAAAATGCCAGTAATTCGATTGAGCTTTTTTCTCAGGTGATCTATATGTTTAGTCCACGATAATTGTTCATCAATATAAAGACCTAAGAATTTTGTAATATCTAAATATTTTATGGCTTTCTGGTTGAAAAATATTGTTGTTTTCGACATATCAGTTTTTCTTTTTGAAATATACATATACGTAGATTAGTCATAGTTAAGGGTCAGCTTATGAATTTGTAGCCAAGATGATATCATTTTCAAGTCTGATATATATGTGCTTGCTACCAAATCGGGACAATGCGGGACTATTTCAATAAATCAGGACAATATCGATAGAGCGCAGGGTACGTGATAGATGATTGAAAAGCGGGACAATCGCAGCCGGGAACCAGTGGCGGTTCGTGCTCCTTTCAACAGGGGAGGCTGAACGTAGTGTGAATGTGAAATTGTACAAAAAAACTGACGACACTCATAAGAATCTTGTTCATAGAAAAGAGGCGCTGATAAAGTTATAGTCAAGTCATAGTCGATGACCATCGGACCAAATAACAAAAATCACTTATAATGGTGTAAGTAGGTTCATTTTTGATAGTGTTTGATGAAATTCTTAAAATTTAGGTTCTATTTCCATTTTTAAGAGAATTTGTACAGCGACATCTATCAGAATAAAATGTAACAAAAACCTTATATTCCGATTTTGGACTTTATATTGCCTTCAAGTTTGGGCGAAACCATGGCAAAACATAAGGGCATCATTAGTGCAAACACCATACTTATAAACATCTCAGTCACACGTGCTCCCTCGCGACCTCGCGAATCGCGATTATGGCGAATTTCATAGGTCAGATGTTGCCAAGTCGCAAATTTGTATTCCATTCGAATATTTTTGAGTGAAAGAAGCATTGCTGCCAAATTCTCAAATTCTACTTGCTTTCAGGAAATAAAACCGCTGAAACGAACGTAAGTTAGCATTTTCGATGTATATTTTATATAAGTATATTGAACCATCCGATGAATGAAAATTCTTGAGGAGGGTCTCAGCCTCCGTTGCCTCCCTCCTCTGAGAAGCCGCCACTGCTAGGAGCCCTGTTTACAAATGGTTTTGGGTTTTGTTCTCAGAAAAATAACTAACCTATACTTCCCGCTACCGCAGACCCGATCATATTCTTCGAGATGTTCAAATCCACCATAGCTGCCGTGCTGGTTTTCAGCACAGAAGAAACGACGTCAGCGGAAATGACGCTCTCGCACACCACCGACTTTCCTCGCCCCTTTATCCAATTCACGGCGGACGGTTTCTTGTCCGTACACACGTTCCCGCTCAGGCTGAGCACCTCCATTCCCGGAAATTTGTCCTTGACCAGCCTCAACGCTTTCTCCGTTCCCTTCGAGATCATGTTCATGCCCATGGCGTCGCCGGTAGAAGCGACGAATCTCAGGAAGAGATACCTGCCGGTAGAATTCCCTTTACACTTTTGTTTTGACGTTTTTGTATGGGTTGCGTACACGATCTGTCAGATGATCGACCCTGGAGGTGGAACATTGAAAAATAACCTCACTTTTCTTATTTGTTTACAAAGGATTGAAATAGTTTTTCACAGTTATTTTGGCATTCGAATCGTGTTTTTCGGCTATTCTTTAATACAAGCATGCCATCACATTGTGCCGTTTTATGATGTACAGAAAATGCAGCAAGAGACGAAGGAATCCGATTTTTCAGGTAGGTACATTGTGATCTAAAAGTACTATAGTCACACATAATACATAATTATAGTTTCCATTTTGAAATTTTGTCATTTCTCATTGGGATTCCTTCTGCAATATGAGCTAATAGAAATACCTACTCGTGAAGATCAAAAAAGAAGGCAAGAAGATTGTATTCATGCACAGGCGGACTGGTCCGACATGCTGACGAAATATGATCGTGTGTGTTTTCACTCTATTAGCAGTATTAGCTTCTATTGCAGACGTGACAGAAGAAATTCTGATGAGAAATGACAAAGGACCCCGCACTTTTTCTATATAAAAATGGCGTTCCGTCGAATTTCCCCAATTTTTGGTAAATGATAGTACTCGACATACTGATTGAATATGCCAAGTCCCAACTCAATCCTATGACTAGTTTACGAGATACAGGGTGTTGAAGTTGAAGAATACCTAATTTTTCTCGGCCTATATCTCTAAGATAGGACAAATGAATTCCAATTTTTCGGGAGCACGTAATAGTTATGCCCTTAGGCGCAAGAACTATATAGGTATTCGACCAAAACTGATTTTTATTACAGGGTGATTCTCATTTCAAATAATGTGTTTTTTTGAATATCTGAATATCAATGCTACAAATTGATAACAATTACAAAATGAGATTTATAGCCAAGTATGCTCTTCTTACATCAATTGAATTCGTAAAATATAATAATTATACATGGTGTTTCATTAATGCTGTTGATTGCATAATTGGTCTATCCTAAAGTTCATTGGGCCACCTCGTATTATCGGGTTGATTCCAGACATTCAAAATATTTTTGAAGGATGTATCCCAATGAGTTCCATGATATACAGAGTGATTCATCGATTGAAAAAATTGACAACCACGAAAAAATATTCAAAAACCACTATTTTTTTCATCACCCTCTAATTCGAAATTATTACCGTCGATGTAAGATTTTTTTCCACCAATATACTCAGTATGGATATTTCAATCAAATTGGGAATTTTCAGACCCATGCTATGACTAGTTTTTTTTATACATCGAATAATGTGAAAATAATTATGGAAAAGTAATTACATAATAACACGAAAAATTGCTCCGAATCGCAAAACTAGTAGTCACTAGTCAACTATGTCAAAAAATGTGATTTGTTCGTAAACAAAATCTAGTGGTCTTATTATAGGTCCGCTAGCAAAACATCTCGAAAATGTTTTTCAGAAAACATCAAACAAATCACAATATGCCCCCGAAAAAATCTCATCAACGACACAACTCATCAACGATCCCACTCATATAAACGTGCTAAAACTCATGAGCGTTCCAAGTCGACAGCGGTTTTTCCCAACTCAATCCTATGACTATACTTTTCGAAAAAAATATGAAACTAAACTTCCGCAAACGCCTAGTGAGAGGTGCGCGTTAATATATTTTGCAACTCTCCTTTATCCAACCAACTTCCAATCTTTTGATCATACTGTATATTGTTAGAATCGAAGTTAGTATATGCACATCGGAAAGACACTAAAGTTGGAGTTTTGGTTATGTAGATATTCGTTACCGGGTTCAGTATAGACTTGAAAGAAAAATGGAATACAGGAACATCAGTAGGTACCGAGGAATCATCATTTATCCAACACATCAAAAATATAGTAAAATAATAATGAAACAATCTCGAAGCCTCTTTCTTCCACTCAATATCAATTCAGAATTGCAATCATAGATTTTGAAAAAATACATGAACCAACTCGTTTTCCAACAACATCTATTTGTTGGAAGAAATAGTGGCATTAGGTAATGTATATCGTAAGATATACATACCGTAATAGATCGATAGACATCCTCAAATAACTATAAAATTATATTTTAGGGTAAGTTCTAGTCCCAATTCAAGTTGACAACTGATATTTTCGGAATCGGCGGGGTCGAATTAGTCTAGAAACTTGGGTTGTCACGAATTAATAAGTATGTTTTACTTCGTAGAAGTCGAATTTGGATTATCGCAACCAGATAGAATATTTTTCAGTAGGCTTAGAAAACAAAATCATGATATCAATAAATGTGTCTGTCATCCAGCAACTTTCGGGTTGTCAGTATCTTAAAATATCATATCAGCGTATATCTTTATTCTGAGTGTTTTTTAAGTCGTTTTCAGTAATTGTTTAGTGAATTTAGTGCGCATTATGGCATTTGCAAATAGGGTAAGATGTTATGTATGCGAAGGGAATTTCATTCCTAGACTCACAATTCGTATAAATCGTGAAGATAATGTTGATTTTCTGCAAATTGCAACATTTAGAAGACAAGCTGCTGGAAGTCCTCCAATTGACATTTTTGATGATACCAGAGTTTGTTTCAATTGTCATAACAGTGTAATAATTGATATCAATGAGATGGAAAATAACCCAAACTGTCTTCGCCTAAATGTATTGAGTCCAGTAATGAGCCGTGCCTGCATAATCTGTAATGCTCGTCAACATGTTCAGAGAATAACTCTTGCATGTAGGGTGAACATTTTTGTTGTAACGAATATTTATGTTCCGGACTTTCTGAGAATTTGTGGTCATCATCTTGACCCTCATGGATTTCTCTTGAATAATTTGCATGGAGGTTTGAATTTTATCAACAAACCCTATTTGATATCAAATATGCTTCAATTTCTACAGTGTATGAGAACAGTTGCCAATGAAAATAGACGTATTAGAAACTGGGATGATATTGATAGTTTTACAGAAGAAGAGTTCAAAGCTCTGACGTCGATTTCAAAAGAAGATTTTCAAGAACTTTATGGATTTTGTGATACAATCGAGCAAGGGGGAAATAGAAGGCATATCAAAAAGAAACATTTACTGACATTTCTAATCAAAATGAAACATGGAGTTTCAGATGAGTTTTTGAAAATCTTGTTTCATTTTTCTTCAAGACAAACAACTAGCTTGATAATATCGAATGTGAGGATATCTCTAATGCAAAGATTTGTAACTAATAATATTGGTTTCGACTCTATTACAAGAGACGATTATATTAATAGACACGTGTCTGTATACACCAATCAGCTATACACTGGTACTGGTACTGGTGGGGGACGTTTCCACGTCAGCAACTAGTCCCCAATGGGACCTTTTTGCCAACCCCAAGTGTTTTCAATGACTGATGTGGTTCGCTCAAGAGAGCTGGCTAACATCCTTTTCAGGCACCGCCCATCAGCTCTCTTTTCAGAGTTTTTCAGCTGTGTTTTGTAGGCTAGTAATGTACTCACTACCATATGCGCAGTGGCAGGCCTGCTAACTATCATCGTTAACCCCCGAGACCGAGGTCTACTTAAGCAGCTGGCCCGCTCTCACGCTCAGCTGGTAGTTTTCCGCACCCACCTACATACACGTAGGCTAGTAATGTACTCACTACCATATGCGTAGTGGCAGGCCTCTAACTATCATCGTTAACCCCCGAGACCGAGGTCTACTTAAGCAGCTGGCCCGCTCTCACGCTCAGCTGGTAGTTTTCCACACCCACCTACATACACCGTCCTACTTCTTCTCTGATGCTCACAACCACATCGTCATATCTTTCTGCGTGTTCTGTGTAGGCTTTGTTACTAACTCCATGCGCCACTTTAGGAGCAGCACTGTTAATTGGAACGCAACAGCGAATCGTGCAGGACTATCCCCAGCCGATGCTCCGAAACTTTACAATATTTAATTCGTAAATAAAATATTGAAAAAAGTTCCTTGCCCGTGCTGGAAATCGAACCCACGACCTTGCGGTCGTGAGACGGACGCTCTTCCACTGCGCCAATCCCGGCATCAGCTATACAACCCTTCTCCCAATATCCCAAAAGCAATTGTGTATATAGACTGTACATATAACAAAATAGAAAAAAGTAGTAATTTCCGGATATTGAGACAATCCTACTGCTTCCATAAAAATGAGCACCTGGTTAAGCCTGAAATTATGGTCGCTCCTGATGGCTACATCTTGGCAATTAATGGTCCATACTTTTCTGATGCTAGAAATAATGATGCCACCATTCTGCAGCATGAGCTACAGAATGATATAAATAGAATGAGGACATGGTTTCAAGAAGGCGATGTAGTGATAGTCGATAGGGGTTATAGGGACTCTATTGGTCTTTTACAGGATCTTGGTCTCCATTACCATATGCCACCATTTCTACCACCAAACCAAAGACAACTCACAACAATCGAAACTAATAGGGCACGCTTAATTACTAGCACCAGATGGATTGTAGAGGCTAGAAATGGGCATTTCAAATCGATTTTCAAATTTTTCCGAGGAGCGATATCAATAACACATGTTGCAAAATTACGCGAATTCTATTTGATTGCTGGCGCCCTAATAAACAAATACCATCCTCCAATAAGGATGCCGGGCACATTGGAATTAGCTACACAAATGTTGCATGATATCGAAGAAGTCAACATTGTTCAGGCCCGAGTTGAGGCTGAAAACCTCCGTACAAGAAATGGTCGATGGTTTCGTTTGAACCATAGACATGTACCGACGTTTCCTCGACTTGACTTAGAATATTTGAAAACACTCACAGGGTCATATCACATTCACTTAGCTGCCTCCTACATACAAGACACGATACAAAGAGATGGAGGGGAACAAAATACACTCGATATTGACGAACTCATTGAGGAACCCAATTTTTTAAGATTTCGAGTATTTTCTCGGTTCAGAAATGCCACTAAACATATGCTGTGGTTAGTATTCAGAGAAATCGATGATAATAATTTACAAGATCCGCCCATTTTAGGGTACTACTGTACTTGTAGGTCCGGTGCTAGAACATTAGGGACGTGTGCACACGTAGCCAGTGTGGTATGGTTCCTTGGATACGCAAGAAACCAAGGAAATATTACCTTTCCATCTGATCGCCTTTTGAATTGTATCGACGATGCTGCAAATCGATTGAATCCTGAAAATATGAACATCGGTCCGGAACTGATTTGAATCTGGCGATTAGTTGATTTCTGTGTTCCTTGTGAAACATAATTATAGTAGTAGTAGTAGTATATGTCCTTCGTTGGTAGGTATGTACATACCAACCAACCATCGATCCCTAATGAGGTCCTTTAGCCCATAGTGTTCTGAACATGTATCTATATTGTATGTAGGCACGCAACAGTGAATCGTGCAGGACTATCCCCAGCCGATGCTCCGAAACTTCACAATATTTAATTCGTATATTAATATTCGAAAAATTCCTTGCGCTGTCTGGGAATCGAACCCACGACCCCGCAGTCCTGACTCGGGTGCTCGTCCACTGCGCCAATCCTGCCTACACACAATCATATTATAGGTATTGGAACTTTCACTTTCTAACGTGGACTAGGCCTACAGGGGATACCACAATAAAAAAAACGCGCCTGAAACTCTACCTCTCAGGTGGTGGGGAAACGAGTTGGTTTGTCTATTTTTTCAAAATCTGTGATTGAAATTCTTAATTGACATTTTTCTTTCAGGCCTATACTGAACCCGGTAACGAATATCTACATAACCAAAACTCCATCTTTAGTGTCTTTGCGATGTGCATATACTAACTTCGATTCTAACAATATACAGTATGGTCAAAAGATTGGAAGTTGGTTGGATATAGGAGAGTTGCAAAATATATTAACGCGCACCTCTTACTAGGCGTTTGCGGAAGTTTAGTTTCATACTTTTTTCGAAAAGTAGTCATAGGATTGAGTTGGGAAAAACCGCTGTCGACTTCGAACGCTCATGAGTTTTAGCACGTTTATGAGTGGGATCGTTGATGAGTTGAAAGTTGATGAAAGGGGTGCGTAGAATAGTTGTGTCGTTGATGAGATTTTTTCGGGGGCATATTGTGATTTGTTTGATGTTTTCTGAAAAACATTTTCGAGATGTTTTGCTAGCGGACCTATAATAAGACCACTAGATTTTGTTTACGAACAAATCACATTTTTTGACATAGTTGACTAGTGACTACTAGTTTTGCGATTCGGAGCAATTTTTCGTGTTATTATGTAATTACTTTTCCATAATTATTTTCACATTATTCGATGTATAAAAAAAACTAGTCATAGCATGGGTCTGAAAATTCCCAATTTGATTGAAATATCCATACTGAGTATATTGGTGGAAAAAAATCTTACATCGACGGTAATAATTTCGAATTAGAGGGTGATGACAAAAATAGTGGTTTTTGAATATTTTTTCGTGGTTGTCAATTTTTTCAATCGATGAATCACTCTGTATATCATGGAACTCATTGGGATACATCCTTCAAAAATATTTTGAATGTCTGGAATCAACCCGATAATACGAGGTGGCCCAATGAACTTTAGGATAGACCAATTATGCAATCAACAGCATTAATGAAACACCATGTATAATTATTATATTTTACGAATTCAATTGATGTAAGAAGAGCATACTTGGCTATAAATCTCATTTTGTAATTGTTATCAATTTGTAGCATTGATATTCAGATATTCAAAAAAACACATTATTTGAAATGAGAATCACCCTGTAATAAAAATCAGTTTTGGTCGAATACCTATATAGTTCTTGCGCCTAAGGGCATAACTATTACGTGCTCCCGAAAAATTGGAATTCATTTGTCCTATCTTAGAGATATAGGCCGAGAAAAATTAGGTATTCTTCAACTTCAACACCCTGTATCTCGTAAACTAGTCATAGGATTGAGTTGGGACTTGGCATATTCAATCAGTATGTCGAGTACTATCATTTACCAAAAATTGGGGAAATTCGACGGAACGCCATTTTTATATAGAAAAAGTGCGGGGTCCTTTCCATAATGAAAACTATGTGAGATCACTATTTACCTGGAAAATCATATTCCTTCTTCTGTCGCTGCATTTTTTGTGCATTGTACAACAGCACAATGTGATGGCATGATTGAATTAATGAATAGCCAAAAAAAAACACTATATTATGCCAAAATATTGTGAAAAACTATTTCAATCACTTGATTCCTCTGTAAACAAATAAGGAAACTGAGGTCGTGTTTCGATGTCTTCCAGAAAAGAGAGGTTGTGTTTCAATGTTTTACCTCCAGGATCGGTTATCGTGCACGCGATCTATATTTAGAATACGGACACTCGACAAGCAGTGACAGTCAGACATAACTACAAATGATTATGATCTGATCATGTTTTGTCAAACAAGAACAAGAATGTTATTTGCTTCGATAAATGCTTCTCGTATCTTCCTTCCTCTACATGTTCAGGGAAGAGCACATCCATATATCTTTCTCTGTCTTTCATTTTCGAATGAAAGTGCATTGCATCTCCTTGACCAGATCAACCTCGATTCACTTAGGCCCACACCTCTGACAATCTGGTCTCTAGGGGCGGAAATTTTCTTCCATTCATGACGCTCCCCTGTGTTCCCCCCACCGGCTTGTTTCAGACCCCCGGAAGAGCCCCCCGCCAAGGTCTTGGCTTGCCCGGTGCCAGATCTCTTTTAGTTCCACGTATGGGTTTCTATCTGAGCCCTGTTTCCGTGCCTCCAGGTGCAGCGATCTAGTGCCTGAGCCTGCACGAGCCCGTAGTCTGACCCCAGAGTTCCGTTTCAGAGCCCCCATTCATCCAATCACTAGAGCTATCACTAGTCCAGCACCAGAGCCCACTTTGCCCCAGCTCTAGGCCCCCCACAGCCTTCTAGCCCAAGCCCGAGGATGATGGGGTGTCTTAGTTTGACAAACCTTCAAAATTGATGTCATGTAAGGTCATGTTACTGTCAGTTGTGGTTATGTCTGACTCTCAGGGCTTGTCAGAGTGTCCATATACTAAATATAAAAAATGTCGAAGTCAAATCAAAACAGGGGTGTCAACAACGAACTCTACCTGCCGGCAATGTGCGAGGAGATTCTTTGGAGTCTGGCGAACCTGCTGGTGGAGTCGAACGCTTCTTTGATGGCACTGAAGTTCTCCTGGCCTTCCAGCCACAGCATGGCCTCACTGGCTTTCACTATGGAGGTGAATCGAACGACTGGGCCTCGCGTCATTCCGTCCGCGACTATTCGACTTTTGATTCCGTTTTTTTCGGTGGCACGACAGCCTGCAATAATAGTAAAAAAACGCTCAGAAAATTATAGTGCACATCAGGGTGCCCGCAATTTGAGCTTAAACATGGGGATCTTGGTTATCTTGAGATACGAAGTTGCTCCAACACGATTTTTTTTATCGCTTGGAGCGCACGAAAGGGGATCCCTATAATGTTCTAAGAACATCGTGCGTTCCTAGGGAGGATAGGGACAGGAGGTAGGTATTGGAATTTTTTTTGAACTTCTGGAGATTACATGGGAATACTTCCACAGGCAATGAACTCCAGAGCCTAGCCGTTCTTTGGATGAAGGAGTCTTGATAAAGTGCTGTGTATATTACTCAGGGCCATACCTTAATATATGCAGATGACACTACATTATCGTTGCAGCTGAAACTGTAACCAAATTAAATGAGAAAGTAAAGCTTGTTACAAAAAATTTCAAACAAATCTTATTGATAATACTAATAAAACGGTATTGATAAAATTCCCTAATCTTCTCAAACCAACAAGCAACTCTGTATTCAATCTCTGTGGTACAAACATTCCATCCTTGGAGTCAAAAGACTGAATGGATAATATTTTGCATTTTCTACATTGAAATCTAATCTCCATGTTAATTACCTGGTAAACTTGTACTATGGGCTGGTATATCCTGTAATCAGTGGTAACATCATTGTATAGGGCACAGCCACAGAAATCAATCAGAAAAGATTTATCAGACTTTTGTTTAATTTTGACTACATAGAGTCTTGTAGGGACACATTCATTCAACACGGAATATCAATACTTACTTTCATATATTTATATAATTTGCTAGTATACACTCATAAAAATGTGAACAAGTTGATCAAAAACAAAAATTACCATGACTACAACACTAGAAAGACAAATGATCTTCGTCTACATCAACCACATAGAAATCAGCATAAGAAATCACGGGTGGCGGAAATTTGATCGAAAGACAAATGATAGAAAAACATTTGATGAAAACATAAATGATAGAAAATTCAATTGATAGAAAAAATATTTTATAGAAAATACACTCGAAAGAAACAGCATTTGATGAAAAATTCAACGGGGCTACGCTCAAGTTAGGTCCGTTTGTGAAGATATGATCCTTCCTCATATATTTGAGAAGAAGGAGCTAGAAGTTTGTGGTATCAATAAATTCATAAGCTTCGATTTCCATCTAGCTCCTTCTCAAATATATGAAGAAGGATCATATCTTCACAAACGTACTGACCTAACTTGAGCGTAGCCCCGTTGCATTTTCTATCAAATGCTGTTTCTATCAAGTGTATTTTCTATCAAATATTTTTCTTATCAATTGTATTTTCTATCATTTATGTTTCTATCAAATGTATTTTCTATCATGAAACATTCGATCAAATGCATTTCTATCAAAAACACTTTCGATCAAAAGATTTCTATTAAATGTTTTTCTATCATTTGTCTTTCGATCAAATTTCCGCCACCCAGAAATCACCACTTTATGCTGGATGCTATTTTTACAACCTGGGAGCATTGAAGCAATCATGAATGAAAATAAATTTAAGTCAGCTAAAAAAATATGTGTATTTCAATATGTTTGTTCTTTTGCTATACTTTATAATTTCAACATAATTTATTTGTTTTGTTTAAGTATATACAGAGAAGTGCACAATGAACGGCCAGTGCTGTAACTTCTGAATCATTTGGGATCGGATTTTGAAAATTGGTGGGTAGCAAGTATACGAAATTGCTCAATAATTGACAAAGCAATTTTTGTTCCATCACTTCCGGTTTCACCGGAAACGACCCCAACTTTCGATTTTATTCCATAATCGGTTAGGGATTATCATAAAGAATTCAACGATACCAGATTTGATAGGGTTATTTCAAACGATTACGAAGATATTCGCATTCTAAGTTTCCATATGCTCAATGGGTGTGACTTCCAAATATCGAAACTTCTTTCTCTGTCCCACTTATTGAGCAAATGGAAACTTACAATGCGAATATCTTCGTTGTCGTTTGAAGTCACCCTATCAAACGCGATATCGTTGAATTCGTCATAATAATCCCTACCCGATTATGGAATAAAATACAGGGTGTCCTATTCAAAAATCAAAAGTTTGGGTCGTTTCCGGTGAAACCGGAAGTGATAGAACAAAAATTGGTTTGTCAATCAATGAGCAATTTAGTATAATTGCTACCCACTAATTTTCGAAATCCGATCTAGAATGATTCAGAAGATACAGGCCTGGCCGTTTTTGTGCACTTCTCTGTATATGCAAACGTCAAAGGATATACATAATGAAGTACCTAATATATGTGATGAATGTAAAATACTTTTACACAAAGATTGTTCTGGAATCTTATCATGAAAAAAACAGTTATTTATTATAGAAGGGAAAAAAGTAGTAGATTTCAGCTCTAGGTTGTGTATCTCCTGAGGCGTAGCTGTCCATAAGAAAAAAAAGTTGAAAGTCCGTCATTTCTTTCTTCATGTTTCAAAAAATGTAACATCATTTTCAAATTCATTTTTCTATAAAAAATTAGAAACGAAAATCGCAAGATTACAATTTTCGGCAATAGGTCAGATTTATTTTCAGATTATTTATCAGCACTCAGCACCATAATGCACAAGTTTGCCATAATCTGAGCAACATCTTATCTCTCAAGATAACCGAGATCCCCATGCTAAAGCTATAATTACGAGCAACCATGTATGGTTACAAATATTCTCCACTGTAATGAAGAAGCCAAATCTATACAAATTGAAGGAATTATCTCTGAAAATGAAGATCAAATAACTTTAGTTAGCACTTCTCAATAATAAAGTAAATATGTTATTCAGTCAGGTGATCTAAGTATTTGATTATTCAAAAATTCCTCACAAGATTCTATAGTGACTTTATTTAATTCATTAAAAGATCAAAGGAGACAAAAATTGAAGTGGTCCCAGAATGAACAAAAAAAATTAGATTATGTTAGGGAAATTCTAATTTGCTGACCAAATTTACAATTTCAGTATAATATACCATCATTTCAGATTTTATGCTATTGAACAAGATATACTTCTACTACCACTTCGGTAGTAACTACTACCATTATCCATACCCGTCCACCCCCTGTACAGGGGGTGGTTTATTCTTGTAGATTTTGAAAAAAATGACTAAAATAGGTAGAAACACATAATTTACTCATATGTCATGATAGTATTTCAGTAGTTTTTTTTTTCAAAATCTATAAGAATAAACCCACCCTCTGCCCAGGGGGTGGGTGGGGATGCATAGTGGTAGAAACTACTACTCAGGTGATAGTACCAAGATACTGTAATGAGGTACAAGTTAATTATGTGTTTCTACCTATTTTATAGGCGTTTTTTACAAAATTCACAAGAATAAACTACCCTCTGGACTGGAAATATGTGGATGGTAAGGGTGGTAGTAGTTACTACTGAGGTGGTAGTAGTTGTTGATGCTGTTTGATAGCATCATTTTCTGAAAATTCCTTAAAAACAGAAAATGTTCAATTTGGTCAGTAAATTAGGTAGTCCCATTATGTTATGCTCTTTGAACTGTGTCTTTGAATGATTACCTACCTCTATTTGTACTTGCCACCAAACATCCTTCAGTTGTAGCCATTGGAATATAAAATGTCATATCATCTAGTGACAAGGGTCCAGCTATTCCCACAGGCACTGGAACATACCCAATAACATTTTCACAGCAGGCACCCATAACCTTTTCATAATCATAGTTTTTATATGGCAAATGAATGATGGCATCACTATCTTGCAGCATATTCCTCACAATTGTTCTTCTGATTTTTACACCACGCTCTGGGTTTTTGACAACTTTTTCTAGCATATAGGAAGGTACATGTTTAGTGTCCACAAGTAAGATTATTTCTTTATCAGATAGCTCCTCTGCAGTGTCAGTTCTATATATCTGTAAGCAGTCTTGTAAACTTCGAGGCACATCTGTTTCTCTATCAATACTGTGGTATTTTGAACTTTCTGTTGATAAATTATGGCTATATTTGTCTGTTTGTACTTCTACACTATTGGAAAATGTACGTTTTTGTCTCTGTATACTTCTCTTTCTCTCTGAGAAAGTTTCAGAATGGCTTATGTGATCAGTTAAATGATCTTTGCTCTCAAAAAAGACAAACTTGATCATGAGGGTGACCAGTAAAATTAGTATGACAATATGATCAGCACTCAGAGCAAATTGCTTCATGAGATAACTATACATTGATGTATCTCCTGTGCAGTTTACTTTCTTTTCAAGGTTCATTCTCTCAATCTCTCCATTTTCATTACTAAAAGTCCACCGACTATGGATGTGGACCACTGTTAAGCCAAAAGACATTATTAATTTGACTCTCTGCACTGCTGGGTTTGATTTTTCATTTTCTTCTAAGAGCATTTCTTCTCCATGAAACTCAGATACCCTATCTAGTTCCAACATCAAAGATAAACATGCTGGATAGAAAGTCATGAAAATTACATAATTAACAATAACTGACAGGCAGGCAAAATATGAAAGCATTTCCAACCTGTGAACACCTGAAAGAGTACCAACTCCAATAACTAATGTTTCCACTACTGTGTCCAAGGTAATTGTAGGTCCTAAAACAGAAACTCCTTTGGCAATATTCTTACTTATTTCACCTTCATTGACGGAAGTAAGGGCAAATTGTGCTAATTTGGCTGCTTTTGATAGGTCAATTAATATTAGAAAAACGAAAAGAGCATCCTTCAAGTCAACAAACTCGAACCGTAAGATGTTCAACACAGCAGAGGTGAATACAAAACTGGAGAATACTACAAACAATCCAGCAAATCCCAGAACATACTTGGAACCCAACTTCTGTAGGTTCCTGAACTGGTGATAGCTATACAGGATGGCAAGACATCGTATTATAGTCATTACAATAACATCAAAGGCAAGATAATGTTCTTCAGAACAACCAACACAAGGTCTTGGGGTTGAATGAGGCTTATCAACTGTTAGAAAATATGTTGTTAAAGTTATTATGGTAACTATTACTTCCCAGGGATGTGTAGCACACAATTCCCCGTAAATTCCAAATAGTCGAGACATTTTCTTTTTTAGTTAAGAATAATCATAACTCTTTCAATACACTCTACCAATTTTCTAGTATTTTGATTACATAACCTCATCTCATAAAATGACTGAGATTGTATGACAGTATTGACAGTCATGTCATAACAAAGTATCAAAGGTGCCTAAGAACACGTTACCGTAAATTTTTTGCATATCCAGGCCAGGATCAAGGATTGGCCGTATTTATTCTCCTTGGGATTGTCTAGTTTTGCCTAGAATAATAAAAAATTGAATAAAAATCACTTTATTTGGCAAATATTCATTGATTCTTGATCGAGATGAGTGATATCCGACCATTTAAAAATCGAAAGCTGGGGTCATTTATGGACAAACCAGAAGTGCGGCAAAGCAAGTAAATATGTGAACAAATAGGAATTGAATTGTAATACATAACTCCCAAAAAATAAGTTTCTCCTATCTCTTCAATAATAAAGAAGTTGGAGGCGGATTAGGCATGCACCTTTATTATTATACCTATATTATTAAAGAGAATCAACCGTGGTATATATATATATATATATATAGATAGGTACTTTAAGAGTGCACTATGAATATAATGATATATTCATATAAGACACTTGAAATGAGAGTGCTTTTAGCAGCTCAGATATATCTGGGATACAGTGTGTTCAATATAAGGATTTCTGTCATGGGGTGAAGTTGATAATGGTTTCTCCGAAACGAAACCGTCGTAGACATAAAAAAAACCTCGCAAAACGGAAAATCTCTGAACGCTGTTTTTAAGAGCCCAAAAAGTGGCAATGAGAAAGTGTGGTTTGTTTTTCTATATCCCTTTAGGTATATCTTGGACACGGTGTATAATTCAGTATAGGCGGGTGTTATCCATTTGGAAAAATTATCGCATACTTTCATGATACTTCAAACGTGGATAACCTTGTGTATATATTTAATTCTTATTCCGTATACATTGAGATTGAAAATCGAGCTGTATATTGTAAAGCTCCCAACTTACTTCGTTCGCTGGCCTACTACAGGGCCTACAGAGGGGTTCTTCACAAAGTAATTTTTACGATCAATGGATTCGTGATTATACAGGGTGAGTCATAACTATTGGGACATAGGCTAAGGGCGGATTGTATCTCTTTTCACAGCAATATTTCATTAAGGCACGTTTGGTCCAATCGCCATATTTTGGTCCAAACAATCTGCCCTTAGTCTATATGTCCCAATAATTATGACTCACCCTGTATATTGAGGCAGGAGGCAGACTGAGATTGTAGACATTAAGACAGAGGTTACAGGCAACAAAATCAAAGTTTGCTTACATTCTAGAGATTGAACATTTTTGTTCTACTTTGTATAATTGGCGAGAGATTCACTTCACTTTTACGTCTAAGTCAGAAAAGGTTACAGTTTACAATCAATTTACCTGTGTGGTTAATTACACATAGGCGATATTAACGAAGTTCACTGGTAGCACTTGGTGCCTACTATTCGAACGTATAGCATGTTTGATAGACAGATACAAAGTCTGCTGGAGACTTTTTGTATTGAGTCACGTTTAAGACTTGAAAATGTACAAATAGATTCACTGATTGAACTTCTATTATTTCTAAATAGATCCACTGATTGAACTTCTTTTATTTCCGAGGCTCACTGGGAACACTTTCAACTAACGCAAATGTAGTACGAGACATCGTACACTGATTTTAAGACTGATCATAACTGTTTCAAGACTAATAACTGCAAACTGTCTTCTTTTATTTCGATTGTTCCTGCTTTTGCACTGAATTTTTGCAATACATTTCGGGAGAATCAATTAAATATAAGACAAGTTCAATGTTGTGTTTATATTAGGCAATATTTTTCATAGATTTTTTGAGCGATGTTAGGGATTAATTTCCGCAACTAAAAAGATTTTGTTGTAGTTCTGAACTGTTATGACGATAAATAATTTCAAGCTATAACTCCATACTCTTAATGATAACAAGGCTGTCACTTACTATAGTTTTCCATTAACCCTTTTTTTCAAACAATAAATGTGGTTTATGATTCTCATTAATTCTTCTTGACTTATTCAATTTGCACAAGTGAGATGATTTCGATGTACTTAACTCTCTAATGTTATGATAATAATTCACTTTATGAATATTATTGACAATGACATGCTCTTTCCTTCACTTATTAGTGCTGAATAATAATTTATTAATCTTTCGAGCCAATCAGATTAGTCACCCCCTCTTTGCTGAACTTATAAATTCTCTGCAAATTCTCATCTACGTCATTTTTGTCTCTCAAGTCGGTCCTGTTCCATTCAAGTGGCCTGAGTGGCCAGTGAGGCAGTGAATTCGTTTGAAAAAGGCAAGGTAAAGGCACCAATGAACTGTAAAGGTAACGTACATAATACCATATACTTATTCTATTCTATACATTTGTTTAAGTGTTATAAGCATTTCAGCTGCACTCAACACTCATTTTAAAATAAATATTCTTTCGTTCACGTAATAATATTGCCTTTAGTTCAATTCAGTGCTTCACATGATAATTTTGTCTATTAGGATACCCGTTACATTATCATGAGGAAATCTCTCAGAATAAAGAAATAGTTCGGCTAAAAATGAATTGAGATTCAGTATGGATTCAGTGGTAGAATATATATAGGTTGAATATATAGGTATATATATATGATCGAATCAGCTAGTAGTAGGGTCGGCAATGTCGGTATGAAACACTAATGGAAGCAGAGGTTTAGATCACTGACATACCTACATACAGAGATGTATAGAAATTTAACCCTACATACCTACTATCTAGACCACTTGCAGTCATATATCTCAGCAACCCGAAAATCTCACCCGAATCGCTTCTGCTCAATACGCATGAGCCTCCAGACTGTCATTCATGAAAGCGAGTAATGTTTCTTGTTGTTCCGAAAGATGAGCAAGAGTGAATAAGATATATGACAGGTCCTAAATGCGCAGTTCGATCTCATAAGGGCTCCGCTTATTTCTTCTTATAGAATCTGCGGTGTAGATTGTAGCAAAGAATAGTAGGTTAGTTGATTGTAGTGTATATGTCGGTGGTTTAGATTCAATTCAATCATATCCTATGTATTCCTATACTGATCTGATTAGGTTAGGATTATTCTGAGATGCTCTTTTATAGTACTATGCATACTTTACAAAAGCACTGAATGGTTGCATTAATAACATACATCAAGGTCCAGTGCCGTATTATCCATAAGGCAAACTAGGCACGTGCCTAGGGGCGCGAGATTACAAAAGGGCGTGTCGTCGTCGAAAATGTGCGTTGGAGGAACAGGAAACGTTGGTGCGGCCCGTGAAATTCCCTATATTCACAATAACTACCCCTCCTACTTTCTCCACCCTGAACACGTATATTAGTAGTTATAATGATTTATATAATATCTTATGACCACCAGAGGGGCGCCGATGAGATACTTGCCTAGGACGCTGTCGACATTTTATCCGCCCCTGTCAAGGCCCATTCATTTTGTGAGTTACAATAAGTATATATTGTGTGTGTGTGTGTCAAAATTCAGTATCAAAATATTTCAAGGGGTTTATTTTTCAAGTCAGAATTTATTATTACCTTTGTTTTCCTATTTATGAACCTATGTCCGCAAACGCTTCGTTACCGATCTACAGAGAGCGTTATTATAAAATTTTCAAGATTTTTTTATGGCTCATATGGTTCTCATAATCAGTGTTCGACATATTCAGATCAAATTTCAAACATATAGGTTATTATACATTTATGGGTTCACATCATACAGAGAGCCGGAGTCATTTTTGTTGAAAACTTCAATTAAATCTACGTGGTGTCCTGAAATTACATAGAAATATTTCAACCACAGATTCTAGGAATAAAAATAGTAAAAAAGGTTATATGTAAACATATGAGCCCAGAAATGGCTCCCTGGGGAGTTTTAGCCACCTGAAAGAGTGCTAGAGATAATGGTTTTTTGTTATATCCCTCGCTCCAGCAAATTTCAGGATCCGTACCCAACGATTACGTAAGATACAGGGGTGTTTCCATTAGAAGTTGGTCACACTGTACATACGTGATTATACATAGAGTAACTCCGCCAATCAGAAATTTAGAGTGTCCACAGCAACCAATTCATATATACATACAAAAACATCTCACATACAAACATGTACAAACAAATAAGCGCGTCGTAATATACAGGGTGTCCGCTAAAAGGAGGTCAATCCATTAACCATATATTCCTTGAACAAAAATAATATGAGTTTCTAAATACCATTTTTCATTTTAGCCCTTCTTATTCGATATACAGGGTGTCAAAGTTGAAAATTAAAAACTGTTTTTTTCTAATTACTCGCGTAATTAATAAGATATTAATCTCAAAATATAGGTACATTAATTCAGCACAAAGAGTTACATCGTGTGAGGAAAACAAAACAGAAAATAACTGTCAAATATTCAAAATACTGGGGGTCAAGTACACACTTACCCCCATATTTTTCTTCATGTGTTCAATCATTTTTGAGTATTTTTTGATTTTTGTAAAATTCCGATAAAATTATTTGTTTTTAAGATAATTCGAAAAGTACTGGTTATTGTTTGATGCCTTGCGGCTTACGGTAATCTCATAATGTTCACATACTCCTATTTATTTCGTCGAAATTGGAAGAGGGCGTATCTTATTACGTATGGAAAGGTGAATATGGAAATACCGGGTGCTCAGAGCGAATGTATTAAAATAATTTTTACACTTTTTAAATTTTTTTTTTTGTAAAAATTATTTTAGTACATTTGCTCCGAGCACCCGGTATTTCCATATTTATTTTTTCGTACGTAAAAAGATACGCCCTCTTTCAATTTCGACGAAATAAATAGGAGTATGTGAACATTATGAGATTACCTAAGCCGCATAGACATCAAACAATAACCAGTACTTTTCGAATTACCTTTAAAACAAATGATTCAATCGAAATTTTACAGGAAACAAAAAATACTCAAAAATGATTGAACACTTGAAGGAAATTAGATAGGAAGACATTAGCGCACGTACAAACAAAATATGGGGGTAAGTGTGAACTTGACCCCCAGTAT